GGCCGAGATAGAGGTTAGTGGTTTCTAGGGCTTGGGAGTGGGAAGAGGGAGGATAGATGTGACTATAAAGGAGTTGAATCAGAGAGATCTTTGTGGTGATGAAACAGATCTGTATCTTGATTGCAGTGGATGTATGAATCTACACATGTGATAAAATGCCACAGAACTATACACACCCATTATGCCACCGTCAATTTTCTGGTTTTGATATTGCACTGTAATTATATAAGATGCAACCATTGGGAGAATCTGGGAGAAGTGTACGTGGGACCCTTTCTGTACTATCTTTGCAATTACCCGTGAATCTATCATTATTTCCAAATAAAAATTTAGAAAAATCACTTGACATGTAAGTGTGAGTCTATTTCTGTACCAGTATCGATTAGTACCAGTATCAATTGGTACCAATATCACCCTGTCATGGTTACTGTAGCTTTATAGTACAGCCTTAAGCAAGTGGAGTAAATCCTCCAATCTTGTTTTTCTTTTTCAAGATGGCTCTGTATATCCTACTACACTTGCCTTTCTAGTTATATTTTTGAAACAGCTCATCTTTTTCTACATGATAAGATTATGATTGAGATTGCACTGACTCTACAGATCAATTTGGAGTTTGTTGACAGCATGACAATATTGAATCTTCTGATCCATATACATTTATTTAAGTATTCTTGAATTCTTTCAGGAATGTGTTGCAATTTTGAGTGTACAGGCCTTCTACATCTTTTGCTACATTTATTACTAACAATTTTATGTTTCCTAATGCTGTTGGCAATAAAATTGTTTTAATTCCATTTTGAATTGTTTGCAGCTAGTATATAAAAATGCAATTGATCATTATATACTGACATTATTTCCTGCAACCTTACTAAATTAACTTATTAATTTAGTGGTCATTGTTTTATAAATTCCTTATAATTTTCTGTGTTAGTAATCATGTCATCTGTAAATAGAGACAGTTTCACATCTTTCTTTCTCATCTTTTCTTTTCTTCCTTTTTTCCTCCCTTATTGCACTGGCTAGGGCCTTGGTACAACGTTGAAAAGAAATAACGAGAGTAAATATCTTTGCCTTGTTCCCATTTCTAGGGGAAAGTATTTAATGTTTTACCATCAAGGATGTTAACTGTCGGTTTTTCAAAGATGCTCTTTATTGAGTTGATAAAGTTTTATTCTAATCTTAGTTTGCTGGGAGTTTTAAATCAACAATGGGTGTTGGATTTTGATAAATGCCTTCTCTGTTGACATAAATGATTATATAGGGTTTCTTTTTTTATTGTGTTAATATGGTGAATTACATTTATTGAGTTTTGAATGTTAAATCAACCTTGAATTTGTAAGATAAACCTCATTTATTCATGATATATTATCCTTTTTCTGCATTGCTGAATTTTCTTTTCTCTTTTTTTTTTTTTTTTTTGAGACAGAGTCTCCCTCTGTTGCCCAGGATGGAGTGCAGTGGCGCCATCTTGGCTCACTGCAACCTCCGCCTCCTGGGTTCAAGTGATTCTTATGCCTCAGACTCCCAAGTAGCTGGGACCACAGGTGTACACCACTGTGCCCAGGTAAATTTTTTGTAATTTTAGTAGATATGGGGTTTCACCATGTTGTTCATACTAGTCTCAAACTCCTGATCTCAAATGATCTGCCCACCTCGGCCTCCCAAAGTGCTGGGATTACAGTCATAAGCCACCATGTCCAGCCTGGATTTTATTTTGTATTAGTTGTTAAGAATTTTAAAAATCTAAATTCAACAGAGATATTGGTCTGCAATTTTTTTTTAAATAATTTTTTTTTCAGGTTTTGGCATCAGGGTTATATTAGCCTTATAAAATGACTTGAGAATAATTTCTTCCTCTTTCTGAAAGAGTTTGGGTAAGATTGTGCTATTTTCCCTTAAATATTTGATAAAAGACACTAGTGAGGCCCCCTAAGCTTGGTGTATTCTTTGTGGGAAGGGTTTTAATAATTATTTCTATTTTTTTAAGACATAGGGTTATTCTATATATCTTGCATCAGTATTTGTGAAGTGCATTTTTTTTCAAGGAATTTGTTAAGTTCACTTAAATACTTGTCAAGTTTATTAGCATAAAGTTCTCCATAACATTCCCTTATCATCCTTGAATGTCTGTAGGATTTGTAGTGTATTCCCTCCTTCAATTTTGACATTGGTCATTTGTGTACTCTTATTTGTTTCTTAAGCAATTACGCTAGGTGTCTGTCAAGTTAGTTCATCTTTTAACCAACCAACTTTTGGACTTCTTAATTTTTTCTATTGTTTGTCTGTTTTCTATTTCATTGATTTGTGCTCTGCAGTGTTTCCATCCTTCTACTTACTTTGCTGAGTTCTGTTATGTTTTTCTGAAGATTATTTTCATTTGTTTGTCTGTTTGTTTCATAGTCAGCAAACGTGGCTGGATTCAAACTCAAAACTCTGTTTCTCCTAAGTGGGCAGTAACAGAATTCTTAGTTCAGTTTGTTTAGCCCTCACTGGGCTGCTCAGAGTATGCCTAATCTATGCATAGTTCAGGGATTTGCCAGGATCGTGAACAGACTTCATACACAGAATTTAGAATCCCCCTCCTACGGCTCTCTCCTTTCTAGGATTCGCTCTTTCATTTTGCAGCTGCTGTGGGCATCCCAAACTCTGCTGGTTCTTCAGTACATTAAGGCTGCAGGTTTTCCATCTGAGTTTTAGTTGTCTTACTTGGCTTCAAGTGGGGTCTGCCCTCAGATGCAACTTCTAAGCAAAGGAAAACTCACCAGTGCTTTTTCCTTCTTCCCTGTTCAGGTTTCATTTCCCTCCAGTGTGGACCTGCTTTTGGCTGCTTCTAGTGCTTTCAGGCAGTTGTTTCTTTGCATTTTGTTCATAGTTTATAGTTGTTATTTGCAGGAGGGTTGATCCAGTAGGAGCTTATTCTCCATTATCAGAAGCTGTAAGCTCTAGTTTCTTTCACTTTTAATTTCACTCCTCTCCCTGTGTCTGATGGTTCTGTTTGTAAGTAGGAATTTGGCTAAATTTCTAGTGCCAGGAGCAAAACCAAGGTACTTACATAACTCAAAAACTAGATCAGTTGGTTTCTGGGTAACTGAGCTTACTATATCAACAGTCTTTCAAAAGTAGAACTCCTGCTTCATTGTACTGTAGGAGCCCATATCTAATTGGGAAAGACTAAGCAAAATTGGGAAGTCCATTTAATTTGTCCTCTTGGAATTTATTCTTCAGCACCTCTCCCCAGAGTCATTATGGTTCCTTCTGCCTGGATAGAAATGCCCCCTGGATCTCTATATTTTTCTCTCCATGGGCAACGCTCTATGTTCTTTATCCCCTCTCTTGTAGCATCTGACTCTCTCTTCCTTCCCGCCACTCCTGGAGCCTGGTGTCCCTTTGCTCAGTTGAAGCTAGTAAAGGGACTGAAACCTAGTTCTGTGGCAGTGACAATGGGCTAATGTGCTCTCTTTCACAAGATAAATATCCACAGTGACTACCCTGAAACCATAGAATGAATTACAGAAAGTAGAGTAATCCAGCCCCTTCATTTTCACTGTTGAGAAAGTGGATTTCCAGATAGAATAAATGACTTGTCTAAGGTCATGTGCTAGTGGAATTGGGTCTAAAATCCTCATTCCTGACTATGAGTTGGCTCAGGAATGGCTTCAGGCATCAAGTCCAGTAGCAGGGTGTGAAAGGTGACAGCACTGCTGCCTTCTGCATGGCTGGCTTCACTCCTAGACATCAGCAGTCAGCACTCAATTACCCAGTCTGTTCACAGTGTTCCTACTGTATGATGAGAATTGACGAAAAGAAGTGAGGATGTTTTCCTGAAAAAAAGAAAACTGAGAGGGGAATATATCAAAGCCTGAGTGGGAATATAGGCACAATCTGTGTAGTTCCATTCAACGGAACCATGACCGATGGATTAAAGATGCAACCATTTTCAGCTTAAGACAAAGAAGGATTTTCTAACAACTAAAGCTGTCTAAAAATGGAATGGTGGTTGTTAAATTTCCTTGGAGCAGCAGATAGTGAATTCTGTACCACTGGAAGCTTTCAAATAAGGCTCAACTGGGACAACTTGGAAAGGGTCCCTTTATTGTATGGGAGATTAGAATAGATTCCCTCCTAGTCCTTAATAATTGTTGGATTCTAGGTTTTGATGCTGAGAGACCTTTTTGTGCTCATTGACATCATACAGCACAGACACCAATCCACCCTCTAGAGAGAAAAAGGCCTTCTGGATGCCCTAATACATGTCCTCCCTCTCCCAACCCATACACATGTGATTTGGTATTGATTGGGGTGGTGTGGCCGTGTGGTGAGGGGTGGTTTAGTGTGGGGTGGTGTGTTGTGGTGTAATGTGGTATGATAGGTTGTGGTCTGGTATAATGTGATGTGCAGTACCATTGTGTGGGGTGAGGTGATATACTGGGCTGTGTTGTGGGGTTGTATGATATGATATAAGAGGAATCATGGTCACAGTCTTCTAGCAGTTGTGCGACTTCATTGAGACAATGACCAAATTGCATTGGAGTAATGTTGGCAGTCAAGAGGAAGTGCCAATTTAGTGATTTCCTTAGCAGAACTGGCTGCATCTTTTACAGAAAGCACGTCTTCTCTGTCATCCTGAGGCTAGTCTGTGGAACAATATGGCAGTTGTAGTATTTTATGTCATACAAAGTGTACAGACATCAGGCCACATGCAGCACCTCTCACCCATCCATACTACCCACTCCGTCAACTACAGGGCAGAGTAAGGCATTAAACTGAAACTAAATCATATCTATTATATTGTAGTTTTTTAGAAAGTGAGTATTTTAAAGTTTCTGCTGTAAAACAAATCACAACTCACATGCCATTTCTGATAAAAGACGAGCAGTTTTAAAATGTGCTCATGGCATCTGGGTTTGTGGACTAGAAGCTAATCAGCCCCAATCATTGCACCAATGGTCTCCCAGGAACTTCCAAGACAGGCTGAACTTTGCCAAGGACCATAGGTTTTAGACCTTTATTCATTTGTTTTATTTGCATATTTTTATTACATAAAACTTCTTGTACAACACATTTGGGAACTCTGGGTTTAGAACAAGTTAGACCCTAAGTTTTTGGTCTCAGTTTCCTTTTCCTTTGATAGATCTTTATTCACCATATGAACAGATTCACCAAAAAAAATCAGTATTTTGTTTTGGTTTGGTAGGCTTTAGCTAAATAGCTTGAAGTGTTTCAGTGGTAACTGTCCTAAGTCTTTCGAATTGTTCCTTTTGAAAGAGAGCAGATATTAGGGAAAAAAAAATCAGTGCCTACCCTGAAAGCCTGTGGCACCAAATGACCGTGTGATTTACTGGAAGGTAGTCTGAAGGGGTGGGATAGGAAGGGACAGGAGAAGGAAAAAAAAAAAGAGACAGGGAGATTGGACAAGAAGGAGGGAAGGGGATGAGAGAGAAATAGGTTGGGAGGGGACAGAGAGAGACAGAGAGAGACTGATTTAACTTCTTAACGCTCTCTGTTAGTCTACCCACTTTGTTTCCATTGCTATCACCAAGTTCAGACAAGGAGAGTTAAGCTCAACTCAAAAAGAGCAGCCGTCTCCCTGGTTTCCCTCAGCCTATAATTGTGCCTCCCTCGGTTCCATTCTTCCCATGGCCACTAGAGTGATGATCTCCAATGCAAAGGGCTGGTGAGGTCTGTTCCCTGCCTCAATTTCTCATTGTTCACCACATCCCTGCTACCGCCACTTGGCTGAGAAGCATCCAAGGACCAAACTTGATGAGTATCACTGACAAATTCAAGGAGCCTGGAGGTGAGGGGTGGGGGTGGTGACCTTTGATTGCCCTGGAGTCTGTAGCCTCAGCTCCCTGTGGGCAACCCGGCTTCCAGTGGACACCTTGACTCTCCACATCTTTCTCTGAAGGGACCTGGTGTCCTGCGAATAGTTGGACAGGGTGAGAACTTGGCCTCCAAGGAAGAAAGTTGGAGAGGAAATGCCACTTGCTTTTGTTTCTTCTTGACTCATCTCAAGGTCTTTAAGCAGATACGTGTTCTGCATCATCATTTACACCTGAAAATTTCCAGTCCGTCTCATTTATAACTAAAAGGAAAATATGGTTCCTGCTGCAAGGTGCTAGCTAAATGCTCTGCCAGGAATATTTAGAACAACCAAATGATTGTCTATCAATGGATCATCGTGGTTTTCCTTAATGTGTTCACTACATTAAAACATGTACTGCTCGAAACGTCCCACAGGAGAGTGGTCTTTTCCAAGGATGACTGGTTCCCTCCCTCCACCCCTCCCACCCCTCACATCACGGAACACTTCTGCTCCGCTGTCTGCTTGATTTCAGTGAAGGTGGCCTGGGCTTTTTCTTTTATGGTATCCAAGTCCATGTTCTGGAGATTCTGTATCTGCCCAAGAATAGAATCTTTATCTTCTTCCTCTTCTTGATCTTCATTTACCATTTTCCGGAGATCTTCGGGTAAATCCACATCATCTCCAGCCATCTGGATTTGATTCTCATCCATTTCACTCTATGTTAAAAATAAATAGAGATAGATAAGTAACTCTAAACCTACTAACTCAGTAATTAAATACACTTTAAAAAGCAGCAGGAAGAAGTCTGTAGAGGATAAAGGAAGTGAGTGGCACACTTGGCCTTGCAGTCAAGCCTGGTCCTGGTGGCAGTCGTGGAGGCTCCTGTAGGGACGTCCCTCCTTCATGGCACCTTGGGTCAGGCTCCTGTAGGGACGTCCCTCCTTCATGGCACCTTGGGTCAATCAGAACCTTCCAGTATGGCGGTTCTCCAAGTGTGGTCCCTGGACAAGCAGCATTAGCATCATCTAGAGCCTGCTGGAACTACAGATTCTTGGGCCCCATCCCAGATCCACTGAATCAGGCACTCTGGAGGTGGAGTCCAGCCATTGCTGGGAGTTTTTTTTTTTTTTGCTTGTTTTTTTTTGGAGAGGAAGTCCTGCTGTGTCCACCCCAGGCTGGAGTGCAGTGTCTCGATCTCAGCTCACCGCAACCTCTGCCTCCTTGGTTCAAGTGATTCTCCTGCCCCATCCTCCTTAGCAGCTGGGTTTACAGGCATACACTATCAAAACTTGGCTAATCTTTTGTGTTTTCAGTAGAGACGGGGTTTCACTGTGTTGGCCAGACTGGCCTCGAACTCCTGACCTCAGGTGATCCAACCACCCCGGCCTCCCAAAGTGCTGAAATTACAGGCGTGAACCACCACTCCCAACCCAATCTGGATTTTTAAGAAGCCCTTTCTCTCTGTGATGCTTATACACACAAAAGCTGGGGCATCACACCCCAACTCTGCCTAAGGGCAGCTTTCCAAGTCTTGCAGACTCTATCAGGCACATGCCAAGATCCACTCAGCTGGTTGACCCCACTCTAAAGGATGAGGTTTCAGTTTATAGTGACTAGACAGTATGCATTCATTCACTCATCACACCTTAATGGCAACTTTTGCTTAATCATTGCTCTTTTCCTTCCTTCCACTAGACAGGGAGCCCCTGACATGGGCCCTTGTCAGATTCAACTCCACCGTTAGCACCTGAACTGGAGTCTGGCCCACAGCACACATGTATTAAGTGAACCATCAAGTGCATGGCCCCCACTCAGCATCCTGGCAGTCTAGCCTTCGGTGTTGCTGATGCTATCACAAGTGCCTTGCACATTTCATTTTGTGATTCTAGGAGTGTCTGTTCCAGAATTTCTCAGTGCATGCTGCCTGGTCTTTGAGATTCTTTTATTTTTATTTTTATTTTTATTTTTTTTTTAGACAGATTCTATCTCTTTCACCCAGGCTGAAGTCCAGTGGTGCAATCTTGGCTCATTGCAGCCTTGGCCTTCTAGGCTCAAGCGATCCTCCCACCTCAGCCTTCCACGTAGCTGGGACCACAGGTATGCACCACCATACTCAGCTGAGATTGTTTCACCACTTAGACTGTAAAGCCTCCTGTTCTGTAATGAGAGAGGAGTCTAAAGAAAACCATTCTCTGGGAAAGGTTAACATTAGCTTACATCCCCAGATGGCTGCTGTCAGATTTTTTGGAGATCAGGTTGTAACATGAGGTGACCTGGGTTTCAGGGAAACAGAAGATTAAAAAGAGTGTCAGAAACGCTAATGAGAGGAAAGATCTATGTTAGAGCCACCTGAATATGTTGTGACCAGCCTTAAATTTGTTACCAAAGCTCATGAAAAATCATATTAAAAAATGATGATCTAAGTCAATCAGACTACGTTGTTTTAAGAAAGATTTCTGCACCTGGTGACTTCTGAGGTGGAGTTAAAGACAGCACCTAAAGGGAGATCTGAATTCCCCCTGTCTGGGTGCTGCGTAGGAATGATTGGAAAGAAACATCAGTTGTCTCTAGGTCCAAACGGCACACCAGGGTAACCTGTAAACTTCCTTCTTCATCTGTAAAGTGGGTTGGAAGGACCAGATGGCTGAAGTCTTTTCCAGTTCTAACTGTCTGTGGCTCTCTTACTTGGAGGGGCTGAAGCCCAGCAGCCTTTCCTCAGGGCTTTCTTCTTTGATTCGGTTCCCTGGGCAGAGTGACACAGGAACCTGGCTCAAGAAATAGCTTGAGAAGCAGATTTCTGATGCAGGGGGAACCAATGATTTTGGGAAGGACAGTCCTCACCGAGGCCCTCCTTGGAGACCCGGGAGGACAGTCCCACTCCGCGCCAGCCTCCGGAGATGTGAAGCCTCTGCCTGCTCTTGGCCAGGGCCTTGGGCCCTCCAAGTGCTTAACGGATTAATTAGTTCCTGGTCAAACTGTTGTGGGATTAATTAGTTAGTTAATCCCTAGGGGCTCCCAGCCAATTGTGCATTTCTATTTATTTTTTATTTGCCTTCCCTAGCAGCTGCTTTCCTTGCTGATCATCTTCCGGGCCTTTTTGCAGGAAGGAGAGGAAAAGCACAAGGTGGCCGACTCATTCTCAGTTCACGCAAATGTGGGACATCTGCCCTCTCTTATGCATCCTGACATCAAATGCAAGTGATTTGAAAAGACATTCCCAGGAATTCTGGCCCCTTCCCTCAGGTTGGTAGTAAGATCCCCAAGCATGTCGCCAGGTTTGAACCTGGACAGGGTAACTGTTGTGGGCCTGCAGGGACGGGCAGCTAGAGGGGCCAAAGGAAAGCCAGACAGCCAGCCAGGGTTACAAAACACTGAACACACTCGCGAGGGCTCACGGGATGGTGCTCGCCTGCCTCCCATTCACAGGGAGACCTCAGCAAGGCCACTCTCTATGGCTCTGCTGTGCTTGAAGAAGCTTCGGGATGGTTTCCTCCTTCAAGGGCGACTCTGAGGTTTGTTTTATCCTTGTGCCTCTTGCTCAGGGAAGCAAGAGCAGTGCAATTCTACGTTGACTCATGGAGAGGATCTTGATTGCCCTAAGTTTTATCAAAGTGGTTCTCAAAGTGGGTTCTCTAGGCCAACAGCATCAGCATCTTTTGGGACCTCACTAGAGATACACATGCTGGGACCCTACTCAGACCCACTGATTCAGAAACTCAGGGCACGGGCCTCACAATCTGTGATTTAACAAGTCCTCCTGGTGATTCGGGGGCTTGCTGAAGTTTGAGAACCACTGCTCCACATTTCTTGAAGACAAAGACTGTAAGTTACTCATCTGTCTGTCTCATAGCCCAGCAAAGTTTCTGGCATGTAGACACAAAGAATTAAATCTTTATTGAATAGCCGGGCATGGTGGCTCAAGCCAGTAATCCCAGCTATTTGGGAAGCTGAGGTGGGGGGATCACCTGAGGTCAGGAGTTCAAGACCAGCATGGCCAAATTAGTGAAACCCTGTCTCTAATAATAATGCAAAAAATTAGCAGGGCGTGGTGGCACACGCCTGTAATCCCAGCTACTCGGGAGGCTGAGGCAGGAGAATTGCTTGAACCTGGGAGGCAGAGGTTGCCGTGTGCCAAAATTAGCAGGGCGTGGTGGCAGGCGCCTGTAATCCCAGCTACTCGGGAGGCTGAGGCAGGAGAATTGCTTGAACCTGGGAGGCAGAGGTTGCCGTGTGCCAAGATTGCGCCACTGCACTCCAGCCTGGGCAAAAGAGAGAGACTGTGTCTTAATAAATAAATAAATATTTTCAAAAATTAAAATAAATGTTTACTGAATGATTCAATGAACCTATTGTCAGGGAAGATAACAGCCTTAACAATACTTAAATTTGTAGGTTCTCTTTGCTATAAAGAGCTCTGTTTTCATAGCTACCGGTTTATCTTTGTAACCCTGTTGGGGCATCGCAGACTAAATTGCCTGAGTGAGAACGTTAGTTCTACCACTTACAGGATGGGTGACCTGGGACACTTTGTATAGCCTCTTTGAGTTTTATTTCCTTGTCTGTATGTGGAGAATTGCATTATTTGCCTTAGAGCTGTCGAGGGTTGATTAGATGGTAACTGAGTTATTTAGAATCTGTTAAGCACTCACCCAGTAGTAGTTATTCATAAAAATAAGAGCCTTCAGAGGTGGACAGGGGAATTTACTGTGGGCAATCTTGCACATGGGGTTAGCCCTCTCAGGAGGCTGTGATGTCCTGGCACCTTATCTCTGACCTAGCAGTGACTCCTACCTTCACTCAAAGCCTTGGTTTTTCTAACAAGCCAGGCTTAGTCATTTCCTCTTTAGCACTAGGCTTTCCATTCTAAGAGAAAGCTACCTAGCCAGCCCTAGCTCCCCTTACCTCTTTTCGGGCCCACCCCTAATTTTTGTGAATGGTAAAGCACAAGTGCTGATAGAACTTCCTGGCTCACAACCTGGCCCTCTTTTTTCTCCAGTTCCTGGCTCCAGCCCTCACTGGGAAGGGCCTTGGGACCTTGGGAGCATGACCCCTACCCCACTCCTCAGGCCTAGTGTGCCTGGCCACTCTCAGGAGAACAGATCTGCATCGGAGGCCTGGGAAGGCTCTGGAATGCACTTAGGCAGGGTGTTTGGGGTCCTGAGCAGCTTGAGCATGGTCTACAAGAGGGGTGTGGCTCTGCCTGGTCTAGGCCCTTTGGCCCACAGACTCTTCACCCCATGTGAAAGAGGGTGGCTAGAAGAGAGACCAGAGCCCTCTAAAACATGGACCGCAGGGCAGTGGCCTCAGATGTCCAGGTCCAAAGACAGCATTGGATGTAGTCAATGGCTTTGGTCAGAGAGTCCTCCACTCACCATTGATCTAGAAGGACAAGGCTACTGGCCCTCCCCCAGAGCATGGCTGCTTCCGGAGATGATTCTAGTCTTGAAACTGATTACTCTGGGCTGAAGCCTGTGCCATGGAAACCTTATGACTAAAGGTAGGACAACCAGACAAGGCTGTTGAGTGGCTAGAGGAGAAAATCATGCCCTCTGGAACCAAATGTGGGCCTGTAGCCTCGTTAGCTCTGGATCCTAACTAATTGAGCTAGCCCTAGACCTAGAACTGGCTAAGTATTCAAGTGTCTCCTTTGTAAAAAGCTGCAGCCTATCCAGACCGTTCTCCTGCCAGAGGTGGCCTAGGAGAACGAAAGATTGTG